TCCTAATTTGGGGTTGCTCTGTGAGACGTTAGTCTGCGCCAATCAGATGATTCTCACACAACTGACCTTGTCACTCAAAAGCCAGGTCATTTAAAAACAGGTTTGCAGCTCTGAAGAAATAAAAGGCAGAAATAAATTTGATTCTTTTGTATTTTAATTATTTCCCCAGGCACCTCTGCTCTCATTAAACTGCCTTCAGTCTTGCATGTGACATTTAAACTAAGACGTTCACACTTCTCGCCTGCAGGTTTTAGTTTCCTGACCAGCAGCACTTGTCGCTCCTCACCTTCTAAGTCCGCCCAAAACTGGAGCAGGGGTGACCCAGAGACTCAGTGGGGTCTGTCAGTCTAAGTAGGTATGAGCTTGTGTCTGCGGAGGTTGCCTTGGCGGCAGCGGGTAAGGAAGAACCCAGACTCTGCCCGGCCGGCCCAGGAGGGCTGGGCACATGCTTCACACCTCGAAAGCTCAAGTGCTGTCAGCACATCAGATGAGCAGTGAGAACCTGTGTGCTCCATGGCATTATCACAAGGGGGCTCTCAGGACCCTCTGGGAGGATATAGAGGACATCTCAGACAGACACAGAAGTGATTACCAAACATTCAAAATAAGACCAGAGGAAAGTCAAGTCATTCTAGCACCCATTTTTTTTTTCTTCCAAGTCAGAGTTTTGGAAAACAGGACCACAAGCAAACCCAACATCATTCTCCGTTCTTTCATAATGGCCCTAGAAAGCAGATGGATCTAAGTAAGTATAAGTAACACTGCCTGGCCTCAAAAAACTTCTTCCTCCAGGGTTCTGAGTGAACACAATACGTCATGAAATCTGTTGTCTTTGTTCGCAGGGGTAGCAGATCCTTACAAGTAGATCCCCTCTAACAGATGGCCCGAGTGAAGACATTACGTTAACCTTGTATGTTGTTCAAAGATCGTCCGACATTTTTCCATCTTTGAAAATCTTCATACATAATCTAAACATAATTGTCAAGGACAAGGAAGTTAAATAAATGTAAGAAGAATGAAACGTTTTTAGGTGGACTTTTTAAATAGCTCCCCTAAATCTTTTTGGTAACTTGAAACTTCCAAGTTTTGTTAAGATTAAGCTAAAGGATGGAATTTATTAACTATCTAGATCATTTCCAATTAAAATAAAATACTGAAACATTAATTACTGAAGAAGTTTTTCCACTTTCAGTTTCCTTTTACAGAGGATCTAAAGATATTTGGGTTTATTAGTAAACGAAATTTTCTATGAGAAAGCACGTTTCTAGAAGTTACAAAAAGTATCTATAAGTCTACCAATCCACAGAACGCTAACGTAAAAGACAGTTCACAACTGCTTACTTCTTAGTTTTCTCTAGAAATGAAAGGTTTTTAAAAGTTAAGAATTTTGATATATTTAATTAAAGCTGAGAAATAAACAGAACACCTCTATATTCAAGAAAAGTAGGATGTGTACTTTTGGTAGAACTAGTCTTCTTGATATTAAAAGAGCTAATTTTCGCTCAGAACTATGTAACCTTCTATATTTGCCTGTGAAATTTTTAATTGTCACTTTGGTTGAATGGATAAATAAATACTGTTTCACAGTGACCTATGATTCTATTTGACTAAATGTTTTTAAAACCTTTGGCTATTTTTTTTTAACCCTTACTTGAGGATATTTTTCCATTTATCTTCAGATAGAGTGGGAGGGAGAGAGAAACACTGATGTGAGAGGGACACATGAACTGGTTGCCTCCCGCACAACCCTGACCAGGGCTGGGGATGAACTGCGACCCAGGTATGTGCCATTGACCAGAGTCGAACTCACGACTCTTTGGTCCGAAGGCCAACGCTCCAACCACTGAGCTAAACTGGCCAGGGCCTTTTGCTATTTTTAACAAACTTCTCAAAATCAATTTCCAAATGACGTCTTTTGACCTCAAACTAACTTGGGATTTTCTAGAAAGCTCCTAGAACATCACAAAGGATTTTTTATCTCTCTTCTCATAAAAAGGGAGATGTTAAACTAATTAGGCTTATCCAATATGTTAATATACATGGGAAGTATAGTCAAATAACAAGTAATACTAAGCTTTCTTTATGTTGTATTAGTGTAAGTACATGTTATAATTGTTCTAGAAATCGTATGAAATTCCTCAAGTCTAGTATGTTTTGGTATAATGTTATACAATGTTGCATGTTACAGGAATGAGCAGATTTCCTTGTCAATTCTATTGAAATAAACTCTCACCAGATCTTTAACAATGGGCATTTTCAAGTCTTGTGTCACTTATAGTTACTGTTTTACTTTGATGATTTATCAAGTGTTCCTGCAAAGTGCTTTGTCTTCAAGGAGATTCATTGAGGGGACTTTTGACAAGTGCAGATTTCTGATGACTTTGAGATCGTGGAGCACAGCTGGGTGGGAATTTCCAGAACTAATTAAAATAAAAATGAAAAACTGGATTCAAAAAGAGCAAGAATTAATTACATGGGACTGAATGAACTGAGGAGGATGACTGATTTTTATCCAAACTCTTTACTACAAAGAGAAGGAGCTGACATTGATGTAGACGGCTTTTGCCCAAGATGCCGTATCAAGACTTCCTACTTTAACTAAACATAAACCCTTTCCTTCTTTTTTTCCCTCTTCTTTACTTTGTCAATGGCCAAAGTAAAAGAAAATGCCATCACCTGTATCTCCCAGACCAATGCTAAGGCAGATAACCTCTGGAATTTAGAAAACTATTTCAGGCTAGAAATATTTCAGGATGACTCCTGGCTTAAACGAGCAAAGGCAACAAGCCCTGGGAATGAACACATTAACAACACCACCTTAGTGGAAGTGAGTTGTGCCTGACAAGAGTTACCCTAAAAAATTATGAGCCCAAAGTGGTAACCTGTTACTACCAGAGATTCAGCAAATAAAAGGCTCAATGAAAAAGCTTTGGGAACTACAGAGTGGTAGCTGAGTGGCGTGATGCCTTAAATTTTGATCACATCTCCCAGACTGAGGGTTTGATCAAAAAGGAGGAATTGTTAAAAAGAAACAATAGGCCCAAAATGGAGTCACTGTGGCTAAGCCCCGCCAAGATTTCACACCCAATTTAACAGCAATTTTCGCCTCTCCCAAGAATGGAATTTTAACCCAAATCAGTCTGGAATTTCTCAACCCTAGTGAGGTCATGTGCCTGATAAGAACCCCTGTCTTCCCCTAAGGGAAGGTGACCTTGCCTAAGAGAAGCCACTCTTAACTTCCTTGTCTCACCCTGTCCCTACCTATAACAGCCTTCCATTTCCTTGTAGCACCTTTCTATTTACTAGGTGGGATGCTGCCCGGTTCATGAATGGTTGAATAAAGCCCATGAGATCTTTAGCTTTACTTGGTTGAATTTTTATTCTGTAACACATTGCTATGGTGACTGGGGTTTCTTCCAGCCCTACGATTCTTAAATGAGAACATTTTAGTTCCTTCTCCAAAGCTCAGGTGGCATTTCTGGGATTGTGCCAGGTTCATTCCTATAAGGTGTGGGTGTCCCTGCCACAGGGAACAGCGTCTGCCTAAATAACTAACCTCTGCACTGGACCCTGTTCACCTCATTGAGCCTTTTCATAAATGGTGTTATAGAACTACTGTTACTGTCATCCTCTTTTAAAGAGTGACTTGGAGGCTCAGTCATCGCAAGTGGCTTGTTCAAAGTCATTCGGCCTGTAGGTGAGACGGACGCAACGTGATTTCTAATGTCAAAGCCCGTGCTTCTCACTCACCTGCCCAGGCCTGAGACAGGCAGATCCAACGCCCTGCTTACTTCCTCTGCCTGCTGACATGCGCCCTGGGTCTAGGAACACAGACTTTGGAGCCAGACGGCCAGGTACGACTGTGTGACCTGGGAGGGTTCCTTTAGCTCTTACCCCTGTTTCGTCATCTATAAAATGGAGATGGTCATTCCTACCTCCAAGGGCTATTCTGATAACCAAATGAGTTAATACATCTAACTCTCAGCCCGTAGTAAATGCCATTTACATACATTTACGGCTGAACCCCTCATTGTTTAGGGAGTTAAAGCTGTAACCAATGAGAGTCAGCCATCCCCTGAGGATCTAGAGGATGTCTACCTTGCATGGCAGGTGGCCAGTGCAACCGGAACACAGTGGTCATGGAAGCGACCCATGTCAGAGCCCCTCACAGCCTCACATACCTTGCTGTCCAGAGTCGAGTGTCATAGCTGCTCTCTGTGGTCAAGTCCCTGCTTCTGACCTCCAGCCAGGGCACATGAGTACCGCTGGGAATGGCATGGCTAGAGATGTCTGATCAGAAAGGCTATCTCCTCCCCCCCAATTTAAATCTCATGAGCAACTCAGTACCTTAAAAAGGAAGTTTAATTTTGGGGGCCTTTGAAAGGTACTTTCAACGGGCAGGAGAGAGCCCTGAAGCAGCCATGCAAGTTGTGAGTTTCAGCCAAAATGAAACTACTTTTTTTTTTCTTTAAAAATCCTATCTAAGGCTTACGAACCATGCGCAGAGCCTCCCACTGTCCTGCTCTTGGCTCCCAGGCCCACCGCCACCGTGGTAACAGCTCTCCCCGCACACACTGGCTCTGCCCTTTGCCTCTCCCAGATCTGGAGCGCGGCCCCGCCTTTCCCGTGTTTCAGTAAGTGGATTTCAGAGTTTCCTTGGAAAAGCCTACTGAGGACACTTCAGAGAGAGAGAGAGAGAGAGAGTACCAGAATATAAAGTTATGGGCACCAGGAAAGAGCAAGTTTGGCAGTGTTTCTTGGAAAAATTCATTCCGATAGCCAATCCCAAGCAGGGCACTGCTTGTAGGCTTGTTTGCTGCCCACGGACATGAGCAACAGCTCTCAGAAATGTACAGGAGGCTGGAGGGCTGGGCAGACCCCGGTCCTGAGCGCAGGACCCAGAGCCGGGCTGCAGGCCTTCGGTGCGGGTGCAACGGGTTTCTGGAGCAGCCCCCTGTCCTGCCAGGGGAGGCCCGAGTCACACAGACACGCGTACTCACCTTGACTTCGGAGGTGGCGGAGGAGGTGAGAAGGCCTCAATCCCATTTCTGTCCTTGGGGAACTCAAAGGCAAAAGAGGCTGATTTGCTCATACCAGTCCCAGCTTTGTCGTTCTGCCTAGAGGAGCTGTCTGTGGGGCAGAGATGATGCCAGGTAGAGGAGTTTGAGGGGTGTGTGGTGCCATTTTCCATCTCTCTTCTCCAGCCTTGACCCAACAAGTCCTGCTCCACCTCCTCCTCTTCCTCTATCCGGCACTGACGACTCCAGGCCCCGGTCTGGTGCCGAGGCCGCCTCTGGTCCAAGGCTGATGCAGTGGTGGCAGGTGGGGGACACTTGACAGAGTCATGGCTGGCCACACCGTTGGCCCAGCAGGAAGCAGCGGGGTCAGTGGGGTGCCTGGATGAGGGCTGGGGCCCCATGCAGACAACTGAGCTCCCTTCGCTGAGGTCGGACTGCGGGGAGGTGGACGGTGGTACCGGGGACCCTCGGGGGCTACTCCTGGACAGCTTGGGAGGAATGGCAGGTCTCCACTTGGAGACGTCCTCATTCACATTGTGACGGTGGCCCTCCCTGGAGCTCATCCCCTGCCCAGCTGCAGCCTCCTCACTGCCTGCCTCAGAGTCCTGGCTCTCAGGCTGGCGTGGCCACTGCACGCCCACCGCGGAGTCCGGGCTGCTCAGGTAGATTGTCCGGTGGTCCTCTTTTGGGTGGGCTGCCATGACTGTGATGGTGGCCGCCACCTTGGGAGCCATATCTAGGCCTTCCCTGTCCCGGCCCCAGCCAGACGCTGTTTTCTGAGCCCAGGTGTTGGCCGTCCTTACCTGGCCCTGGCCCTGGCCCTGGCCGGGGGCAGCTGCTGCCTGTTCTGCCTTGGCCTGCGGCCTGGAAGGCACTGGCACCGCCTTCTTCCTCTTGGTGCTCTCAGCATAGATGGGTTCGGGCTGCACGGCCTCCCTGGGGTGGGCTGGGGGCTGGGGCTCCCCAGGCAGGCCAAGGCCCCTGCTAGAGGTCACCATGTGGCAGCCAGAGTGCTGCTGCTCCCCCGGCGCAGGTCCCTTCACGAGGGAGCAGTAGTCGCTCTCGAGGTGGGGAGCGAGGGGGCTGCTGGTACCGCTGCTGGTGCTCCCGCACGAGAGCCCATCCGAGGAACCCGCGGCCTCGGAGGGAGGGGGCAGCTTCTTGGGGCCCAGATGGGGCGGGTTCTCAGTGGGGCCTTGGCTCAAAACCTGCTTCATATCCTCAGCGGGCCCCGCACACATTCCCTGCTCCCAGCAGGGTGGAGAGCAGTCCCCTCCGCCAGGTCTGAGCTGGGGTCCCTCAGCCTGAGAGGTGTCTTTAGCAGCAGGGCTCCCGGGGCAACAGTCCAGGATGGAGCAATATTCTCCCCCTTCACTGTCCCCGGAGGGTGAGCACCTTTGATCGCTGTCATCCTCTGAGGGCAGGGACTCCCGCAGGGGCTGTGCAGAGGGGTAGAGCCCAGGGCCCTTGTGACAGCCAGATGTCATCCTGCCAAAGGCAGCCAGTTTCTGGCGGAAACTCTCCTGAGTGGAGGTCAGCTCCTGGTAGGGAAACGGGGGTTTTTCTTCTCGCCCGGCCTTCTCTTCGGGGAAGCTCAGTGGGTGGAAGGCCGTGCTTCGTTCCCCCCGGGCCCCGGGACTGTGCAGGCCGACCATGGCATATGCCGGTGGGCAGCGAGGGTGGCCATCCCCAGAGGCGGAGGGGCTGGCAGGCTTCTGGACGCCACGGAAGCTGCCCAGGTAGACCACAGGCACATCTTCCTGTTTCGGGAGGGGGAGCTTGCTGGGGGGCCGTCTCCAGATCTGGTCAAAGAGAAAAGGGCGAGGGAAAAGTGAGAGGGGAGAGGCATGACAACGACAGTCTCCGCGCTGAGCAGAAGCTGGGCGGTGCGCCTACCTTCTGACCTCCTCGCGCCCTCTGGTCCCCGCTGGGCCCGCGTAGCCACCCCGCACCCTGAGCCGCCCTCCCACCTCCGCCTGCCACTTTTTTGGCTTAGGTCTGTGAAGCAGGGGCAAAATCACTCTAGAAAAGAACATTTTGCCTTCTCCCCCCACACCGCAAGATGGATAAGTTCTCCTATGGGCTCTGAAAAGAGAGTTTTGGGTTTTGTTGAATTTTTGTGCTTGATAGTCTTTTGATAACCGGGTCATGATACTTTCCTAAAGAAACCAAGGTCATGAGGCTTTTTAAAACACCTTGGATGAGTGGCAGGGGCAGGAGGGTGAAGGGTGGTATCTGAGCTGTACTGAGCCAAAGACCTGCCAGTTACAGGCAGCGACCTGAGCCCAGGCCTGCATAAGTGGCTGGATTAGCTGCACTACGAGAAATAATGTGAACTGGTCATTCTCATCCCTGAAGTCACTGTCCCCTCCTTCTCCCCTTCTAAGACTTCCCCTACCCCCACTTTTAGCAGCAGCCTCAAAGTAGGACCCGGATCTGGCTCTTTTCCAAGATGACTCCGAATGAAGAGTCCCTGGCTTATGTCTGTGAAGGTTGACCTGGTGAGTGGATGCAACCAGCTTACCAAAAATTGAGCAGCCCTGAGGGCACACTGAGCTCAGTACCACCAGGGGAGACGCCTCTCCTCAACTAAGCCTCCCCTGGCTGAACGCTGACCTCTGATGTCACAGAAGCTCACACTCCTTCATCCACTCACTACGATGGTTTCGAAAAACTAAAACAGGCAAAGAGGTCAAAGAGTTTGCAAGCAGTTCTGAGAACATGTCCCAGACATATAGCTCCGTAGACATGTCTGGAGGCAGCAGGCTGTCCGTGCTGTCTAAATAATTACGCTTTTGCGAGCGTTAGCTGTGGAATGAGCAGAATGGTCTACCCTCTAGGGATGTAACTGTTTTACTTAGTGATCTTAAGTCTAAGCTTCACAACTGGAAATATGAGCACTGGCTGAAAATGGGATCATATGAGGAAATTACTGCTAATATTTTTAAGTGTGATAATGGTATTGTGGCTTTAATTTTTAAAAGACTTCATTTTTTTTTAAAAGAATACCAAAATAATTCAATGACTAGGTTTGCTTTAAAATCATGAAAGAGCCCTGGTTGGTTTTTCTCAGTGGTTAGAGCGTCCACTTGCGGACCAAAGAGTCCCGGGTTCGGTTCCCGCTAAGGGCATGAACCTCGGTTGCAATTTGTCCCTGGCATGTGGGTGGGGCAGCCAGTCGATGTGTCTCTCTCACATCGATGTTTCTCTCTCTCTCTCTTCCTCCCTCTCTCCCTCCCACTCTATCTGAAGATAAATGCAAAAATGTCCTCAGGTGAGGATAAAAAAAATAAAAATAAAAATAATAAAATCATGGGAGAGGGAAGGTGGGGTCATGACTGGTCATGAATTGAGGATTGCTGACACATGCTGAAACATGGTGGATGCATGGAATTCGTCATGTAATGTTGCTCTTTGTGTATACATTTAAAATTATTGATTAAAAAATCTTAAAAACTTTTTTTTCCTGATCATCCTCACCGGAGGATGTTTTTTTCCATTGCTTTTTCGAGAGTGGAAGGCAAGGAGAGAGGGAGGGAGGGAGGGGGAGAGAAAAAGAGAGAAACATTGATATGAGAGAGACACATAATTTGGTTGTTTCCTGCACAAGCCCTGACTGGGGCCAGGGATCAAACCTGCAACCCAGGTATGTGTCCTTGACTGGGAATTGAACCCAAGATTCTTTGGTCCATGAGTCAATGCTCTAACCACTGACCTACACTGGCCAGGGCTTAAAACCTTTTTTAAAAAACGCTTCATTTTGTGTGTCGTGATATTTATTCAAATAAATAATGAGCACAGTCTCCAGATAAACTTCGAGGGTACGGACTAAGGGTCTTTAGCCTAAAGGAACAGATAGGAAGGAAGGTAGCAGCCAGGAAGGAGCAGTCTCAAGACAGCCATCCTGCAGGAGTCTTGCTCTAATAGCCCTTCCTGGCTGCCAGCCAGCCACCAAGTGTTACCACAGGAGCAGCCCCTGTAAAAATACCACAGGGGTGAGTCAGGCTCACCTGTGAGACGTCGGCACTCTGATCCGTCCACACATCAGAGGCATCGGAGCTCAGCATGGTGGGCTTCACGGCGATGGTGGGCTTGGAGTAGGGCGAGCTGTTCACACCTTCATCTTCCAGGCGGCAGTGCTCAGGCCTGGGCGGCAGGCGAGGAGGGGGCAGGCTGCCTGCTCTGGGCTGGGGACAGCTGGGCGACAGCTGATGGTCACTCCGCAGGCAGAAGCAGTTCTTGCAGGACCCGGGCTTCCAGATGTGCTCCACAAAGTCACTGCACGCAGACATTTTCGGGCTCTCGGGGTTCAGCTGGATGGTCTGGTGCATCTTGGGCGGACAGCGAGCTGCCGGTTCATCCTGCACCCGGCTCCCTGGCGTGGTCTTACGGGAGGCAGGTGTGGGTCGCAAAGTAGCTTCCTGGAAGGGAAGAACACCGGCCGGATCAAAGCTCTCCCTGCCAGAGGACGGGTGCTGTACCACTTAGGGTCTGATTGTTTGGGGAGAAGACGGGGAGGAGGGAGGAAAGAGGGAGAAACAAGCTAAAGATTAGTATTCCATTTATTCCCAGGCCCTCACCCATTTCTCATAAGGCTCTTAGTCACTCTCTCATGGTCTTATCAGAAGCTGTAAAAACTAAACACAACTCTGTTACCTAAGTAGGGAGCATAAAAGACCTTTCAGTCCCTGAAAGTCCTGAGCACCTGGAGCTTGGGGGATAGTTAACCAGAAGAACTCACAAAGATGAGAAGCCCATTATGTCGTCCGTGCATTCCCTGCCGCGAGGGGTCTCCAGCCTGGGACTCTGACCCAGAGAAACAAGAACTAAGAAGCAGTACAGCAAATAAAAACAGTGGCTTCCAGAGGATAAGCCACACTGAGGATGTTTTTTCATTGCTTTTTCACACAGAATGGAAGAAAAGGAGGCAGAAAGAGACAGAGAGAAACATCGATACGAGAGATCGATTGCTCCCCGCGCACGACTCTGACCAGGGCCAGGGATTGAACCTGCAAATAAGGTACATGGTCTCGACCAGGAATCGAACCTGAGACCCTTCGATCCACAGGCTGATGCTCTAACCACTGAGCGAACCGGACAGGGCTCCATTGTTAACCAAGGATGATGTGCGCGGGGAGGCAAGCCCGGGCCCTGAAATCAGCACTGTAACCCTTCCTCGAGGCCAGGTGGAGATGGAGAGGGTGAGAAAGGGGAGAGGTGTGGTGCCAGCCTGCCCCCACAGGGGACCCTTGTCAGGATGGGGATTTACCTCCCCCCCCTGCTTCATATACATTACTCAACCCAGGGCTCAGTGAGGTCAGCAAAGAAGAAGCTGCAGGCCCACGGGAACACAGAAATGCACACGCACCACAGGGCCGTGGTCCTGGCTTGGCAGGAGAGGATCACACAATAATTTTCCCAATGATAACCCTGGAGGGAAGGCAGTCAGCTGGCTGAAAGTCAGTGGCCTCTGAGAGTAAAACTGAGAGCAGAGAGTTTGTATCACAGAACTTAGTAAACTCACCACTGGGAGCTCAAAGGGCTGCAGATATAACCACTTAGCGTGAACAACACCCTGTCAGGTAGCTTTATCCTCTTTTATTGATGGGAAGACAATGGCAACTACATAAACTAAGCCCTGTCCATAGACACACACAGTTTTGTGGTTCTGGAAAGAGAAGCCAACTTTGCTGGCAGTGCCTCCAAACTGTTGTTATTGGTAAGACCAGTGAGTTTCAACCGGTGTCTGCAAGGATTTTTAAAACATGCAACACCTGACTATTTAGTCAGGGCCACTGACCTCTTTTCCCTTAGACTGTCAAATAAAAAACTGTCAAGAGCCAACACAACAATAGCTGTTCGGTGTGAATAAATAAAAATTATTCCTATTTTTTTTTTGTCATACCGGCAAATATATATATTTTTTGGTGTGTTGCAGAACGTTAGTAATTAGTTTATGTGCGCCATGGGATCAAAAAGGTTGGAAATCGCTGGGTTAGAATGAGAGTTCTTTTCCCCTGATTTAAATAAACAGACTTCCTCATAAGGAGACTGTCGTGAGAAAATAATCCTGAAGAAGCTAAAGTGAACTGATTCTCATTAAAGAGGGAGGGTTCTGCCCTAGGGTTTGCTCTCCACTTTCTTCCCGTGAGAATTTGCTTTGAGGCTGATGCTCTCTAAACTATCAACAGAACTAACCAGATGTAATGAGCCAGGTGTCCCCCAAATCATTCCAGAATCTCTGTGGGAAGTGCTATCTTTCTGATCTCCCCTACTCAGACAGGAGTGTTTGTTCAACGAGCGCTGAAGCTAAATGTGTCTCCTTTCCCTCCAACGTTAACCTTGAGGCCTATGCATCTTTAGGCTAAATGAACACTCTGAAATAAAAGACAAATATTTGTCTTTCAGCAACCTTGTCAGGACCGCATGCATCCCTCCCTCTAAGATGACTGTAGGCTAGGTTCCTCTCCCTAAGTGCACCCAAGGAGTAGGCTCATCCCTTGCCAAGTTGCCCAGAAGAGGTCACTAAGCTTCAACAAGCAGAAGAGGATAGCAAGGATTTTCCCTTCTCCTACAATCCCAGGCCACAGAGAGCCTGAGCTCTGCTGCTAAATGCTGGAAGGGGGAAACGTGGCGGAAGCGTTTTGGTGTTCAGTAGGGCAAGTTTCCATACTCCTGCCCCGAAGTGAGGAGTAGTTCCCTTCCCGGGAGCTGATGAAGCTACCTTCCAGCCACAGAAAAGGTAGCCCCACGGAACTGAAGGCAGAGGCTCCAGAGCCCCTTAGTGGGCCGGAGGAAGAGAGCTTGGATGCCAGTTCTGTGAGGGCTCCTCACATCCCTACTGCCACAAAGAAGCAGTTTGGGGTGGTCACATCTCATTTTCGCAACAGGCAACTGAGAGCACAAACTTGTTACAGTTGCTTGGTGCCAGAGGTCGGCCTCCTTTGTAGACCAGGGCCCACTATAGCCCTGGGACTTCTGCCAGGCTCTGGATTACCAACATGGGGGGCGCATCCTTCAGAACCTCTCAGTTTATGCGCACTTCATCCGAGGCTCTGAAATTCTCTGATAATGGGTACAACTTTCACCCACACGATGACTCAGAGATGCAAAGGTTAACAAAGCCCTGGGCTTCTCACCATCACTGCCTCACTGCATCCTCTTACACCTGGTTTCTCAGTCACAGCAAACAATTTACCACCCTGTCAAGCTAGAAAATGTTATTTTCCAGTTCTATCTATCCAGAGAGGGCCTGAAAGGATCTCGATTTGTTTTAAGTAAAAGATGGTGAAAAACTCAAGTGGCACTCACAAATAGGGAGCCGGCCTCGCCCACCAGCTAGCACTCCACAGCCTGGGAATGGCACCTTCCCAGCCCACATTCCTTACCTCTGAGGGAAGGCGGCCCCCAGAATTATGCAAATTCCCCCATTTCTGTAGGAGGCAGCAGTGTGAGACTAGAAAAAGATTTCAGCATTCCTTCTGATCCAAGTCATGATAAAATATCTTTGCCTCTGCAAACTTGTGCACTAGACTTGTGGCTACAATTTGCAAAACTGAAGTTGTCAGATACATTCCCACCTCCTTTTAAAAAGAATATGAAGAATGCTGGCTGGATCCAGATGCATAAAATTAAATATTTTGGCTCAAAATATTGCCCCTCATACTTGCATCAAAAGTTGATAATGCCTTACCCTGAAATGACAGAACACCTGAAAATATTCATCTACTGCATTTATATATATTACAGTTAAATTAATGCAACATTGGGGAAAAAAAATATGTGTGTGGAAAGGGTCTGGATTTCAATAATTCATTGGCAGGGGTTGCCCAGGCTGAGAGGAGAAAATGACAACCTTAATACACACACACACACACACACACACACACACATGGTAAGGCATGATATTCACGCAACTTTTAACTTTAACTTTATTTTTTCCTTCTCCAATGCTATGTAATCTAATCTCAGGAGTAGGAATACTTCCTTCTGGGTTAGATCCACTACAGTCTAAACCAGTAAGGATACTGAGTTCCACAAGACCCCACGAAAAGAAAATAACTGCAGAATTCCCCAGGGCTTCATGTCCAATTTCATTTTCAAAAAGGTAAGGGGTTCTTATCATCATCAGTTCAGGCCAATGATCAATAAGGTCTGCCGAACCTGACTCTGGACGGGACTTATTGCAAAACTCCTTGTCCCTAGACCTTTGGGCTTGGCTATCCTATGGGCTCTGCAAAGCTATTGCTTGCTGGCTAGGCTTTACCTGAGAGAAATATACAGTTGGCCGGCCCTGCCTCCATTTCCATTCACAGGACCTGAAAGTAGAAAGGTTCTGGGTGTGTGTGTGTGTGTGTGTGTGTGTCCTGCTGGGGAGGAGGCAGCAGAGGCAAAGGTTAAGAACGTGCCCAGGGCATGCCTTTCACAGGGCTCAGCCTTGGCTCAGGAAAAGGGCATCATCATCTCCGGAGACTCCGAGGCTAGCACCTAACCCGGTGCCGCATAAAGGGCAGCTGCGACCGTGGGGCCCAACCCATCACCCCTGGGGTCCTGGTCGGGGCAGCCCGGGCGGCCTGTCGCCCTGCACTCCCTTGACAATACTGCTGCGACAGAAAGGAAGTCCCCACACTAGCGACCCCAAAGCTCTTCAGTCTTGCTCCGAACGGAGCAGCGGGACCAGCAAGACCGGTACAAGAGTCGGTTCCCCCTCCCGAACTCCAAGGAAAGTTTCCCCGTTTTCCTGAGCGCAATTCTCGAATGAATTGAAAACACCCCTCCGGCTCCCGTGCCCTCCAGGCTCGGCGCCTCCACCTCCGGCTCAACCCCGAGCGCACGCGGTCCCGACGCTCCACCCTCCCCGAGCGGCCGCCTGTCACCGGGGGACGCCGACAGGGGATCACCCGCCCGGCGCCCGCAGCGCTCCTCTCAAGCTCCCCTCCGCGGCCACGTTTGCCAGACAAAAAGAGGCCGGGTTTGGAGAAAGCGTCGCAGGCTCACCTCGGGGCCGCGCTCTCCCGGCCTCGCCGTCGGTCGCCGAGCCGCCAGCCACCCCGCCGGGCGCCTCGGAGCATTGTTTGGAGAGTGTGTGCGCGCGGTGCGTGCCCGGCCGCGGGCGGGTGTCGTCTGCCGAGCCTGGCGGCGGGGTGGCAGCTGCGAGCGCAGCTCCGCCCCCTCCGCCTCCGGTGACGCCGCGCGCCGGGCTCCGCACTCCCCGCCGCGCCGACCTCAGTCCCGCACGCCGGCCGCTTCCCGCGGCGGTCCTCGGCTCAGCTGCCCGACTCCTCCAAACTCTCCGCGCTCGACCCCTCCTCCCGGGCCCCTCCCGCTCCCG